TGCAGTTAAAAAAGTATTTCCGCGATGGTAAACCTTACAATCTATACAAATAGAATATTTACATTATTATCTGAATCCTAATGTAATTACTTCAATTTATCTTTCATTTTAAACTTATGAATTGATTTCTACAAATGAATGGTAGAAGAATAAAGAAAGGATAAAAATTAAGTTAAAATACATAAAAATATTTACTTTACTGTTACTTCAATTATCCTAAATTTAATACTTATTAATTGATTTGCTATGAACATTAGTCATGTGGGAATGTTCGAATTTGCTCTAAAATTTCTATAGATTCAAATATAATTTACTTTAAACAAAATTTAAATGTGTATAAACTAAAGGAATGTTGTTATTATGTAATTACTTCAATTTATCGTTCATTTCAAACGTATTAATTGATTTCTTCTAATTAATAGTAGAAGTATAAGAAAATGTAAAAAATGAGTTTATATACATTCACATATTTACTTTAATTTAATACTTATTAATTGATTTCCAATTAACATTAGTCATGTGGGAATTTTCGAATTTGCTTTAAAATTTCTATAGATTCAAATGCAATTTACTTTAAACAAAATTGGAATGTCTAGACTCTAGAGGAATGTTGGTATTATATGTAATTACTTCAATTTATCTTCCATTTCAAATTTATCAATTGATTTCTACCAATGAATAGTAGAAGTATAAGGAAAGTATAAAAATTTTGTTAAAATACATAAAAATATTCACTTTACTGTTACTTTAATTATCCTTAATTTAATATTTATTAATTGATTTGCAATTAACATGTGGGAATTTTAGAATTTGCTCTAAAATTTCTATAGATTCAAATGCAATTTACTTTAAACAAAATTGGAATGTGTTTAAAGTAGAGGAATGTTATTATTATATGTAATTACTTCAATATATCTTACATTTCAAACTTATTAATTGATTTCTACCAATGAATAGTAGAATTATAAGGAAAGTATACAAATTTAGTTAAAATACATAAAAATAATTATCCTTAATTTAATATTTATTAATTGATTTGCAATTAACATATGGGAATTTTCGAATTTGCTTTAAAATTTCTATAGATTCAAATGCAATTTACTTTAAACAAAATTGGAATATGTTTAAAGTAGAGGAATGTTATTATTATATGTAATTACTTCAATTTATCTTTCATTTCAAATGTATTAATTGATTTCTACTAATTAATAGTAGAAGTATAAGAAAAGGTAAAAATGATATACATTCACATATTTACTTTACTTTAATTATCCTTAATACTTATTAATTGATTTGCAATGAACATTAGTCACATTTTCAAAATTTGGTCTAAAATTTCTATAGATTCAAATATATTTATTAAACTAAACTTTACTTTACTTTAAACAAAATTGGAATGTGTTTACAGTAGAGGTAGGTTCTTATTATATGTAATACATAATGTATTCATTTCAATCTTTGATTACACAATTAAATAAAATATTCTTATATTTACTTTAATCTCAATCATATTGTAATTTCTTCAATTTCAATTTCATTTCAAACTTATTAATTAATTTTTACCAATTAATAGTAAACGTATAAGAAAAGGATTAAAGTTGATCGGAATACATAGAAATATTGTCATATTTCCTTTACTACCACTTTAGTTATTCCTCACTTAAATTGATATTAATTGATCTGTAATAAATGTTAATCATGTGGGAATTTTCAAATTTCAATAGATTCAAATATAATTTACTCAAAAATATTGTAAATCCTTTAATTCCTCACTTAAATTATTAAAAATATTTATATTTAAACAAGAGTTTAAAGTAGAGGAATGTAATAAATAATGTATGGATTTCGATCCTTGATTTGCACTCAATTTGGATACAAAATTCTGTGTCTACTCTTAGCAAAATTCCTTGGGTGAGAACCGGAAACGAACAGATTTATTAGAGTTGTGATCCTTATATAGGTCATCTGTTTACGGTCATTACCATGATTTGTAGACGACCAGAAAGAGAGGTTTCTTCAAATGTGATGGTGAATTATGTGGTATAAGGCTCGTCACAGTTAAAGAGACAATAAAGTTCAACCTATGCAGGGAGCAGGTGTGTCGTGCTCTCATGATATCCATTGTAAAACCCATCATCTAAGCAAGAAATACCTGTGAATGCAGACAAAAAAAGAAGCAAGTGTTATTTACATAATGATTTAGGTATAAGCAAGTAGCGTATATTCTTTAGTTTGACCCAATTCGGTAAGTAATAAACGCGTAGTTTCAATGGCAATAATAAATCTCAATTTTATTGCAATTAAAATAATAATATTTAAATTGGAGATGTGGATAATGTTTATATGAATGCGTTATTTTATGGAGCAACGAGTGACGTGGCATAGACTGCGTTTGGTGCGACGTACAAGAAGTAATGAAGGAAAAGTAAAAACGTCACTTTCCCAGGGAAACCCCATTTAGGTAGTGGATGCAACCGACTCGTCCATCCTCATCGTGCATATTTTAATATAATTACAATCCTCCGGTTACGTTTCGAGTCTAGTTATTACTAGAGTTGTGAAGCATGCGGCGAAATTTCATGAGCCATAAAATTACCGACAATTTTTCCACACAAAAGAAACTAATCCTTGACATTGTGGATTCTAAACTTGTGGGTTTGAAAAATTCTTATTCAACTGTCATACCTTTGAAAAGATCATCTTAATGGAGCTGTTCCATCCATTCCAGCGCGTAGGTGTAAACTATAAATCGCATTTCTACAACAAACCGTGAATCATATAATTATATATTATATTTCGTTGCTAATGGGATCTTTATTATTTTCGTGATCTTACTCTATGTGTGGTAACACAACATTTCTGTCCGTTGTGTAAAGCGCAAGATGCGTGGGTCGTGGGTGGAAAAATGATTTATTTGCCAGAGCCGTGAGGCAAGGTAACTTAATTAAATTTTCCATAACGAAGAAAGAAAAAAGAGGTGCGAGGATGGAAACAATCAACATTGCTCGTGTCGTACGTAACTATTGAAACAAAACGAATATGTATAGTAAATTATTTGTAGTAAATAATTAATCAATCGATTTTGGTGAGAGTATAAAAACCGGATTGAAAAACGTTAAAATTAATTAGCAAACATTATTATCCTCATGTTTTCTGTTATTGAAGTAAGAAAATCCTTTATATAATAAACATGTTGTAAAGCTACACAACACAATAATAAGTTTGCAAATAAATTGGGATAATTGAATAAATTGCAGCTGCAACATTATCTCTCTTTTTTTTGTTGTTAAAGTTAACATTAACTTTTTTTTTGTTATTGTTAAAGTTACAATTATGTATTTTGATTCAAATTGATTAGTCTGACAAAAATTTCTAAAGTATTTCAATTGAACTCGCCGATATCTGTTCGTATATACGTAATACGGTCAGTTAATAAACGGTTACAAAATCAGTGTTGTCGCTGCGTTATTTCTGCTGGTACATTGATACAACCTTACGATATTGCGAATTGCGCAACTGGAATTCTGCAATTACGCAATATACGAATATAACTATTGAAAAATCCTAAAGGTTGACCTTATTTTATTACTTTTTTCAATTTCGATTTTTATGTGTAATTTTTTCAAAATAATAATTACAAATAAATAATCGAAAATTGAAAAAAAAAAATATCTCTTGTTGAAATGAGAAATTAATGTATTTTCTATATCGCAAGCCCGACAACCGAAAGACCGTCTATTGAAATCCCGACGTTCGAAATCCCGGCTGTATTAAAATCCCGACGCTTGAAATCCCGACTATGACAAAATCTCGACTACCATAATCCCGACAATCAAAATCCTGACTATATCAAAATCCCGACTATATCGAATTCCCGACTATATAGAAATCCCGACTACCATAAAAATGTTATTGTAGAAATTTATAATAATAAAACATACTGTCGGGATTTCAATATAGTCGGGATTTCGATATAGTCGGGAATTCGATATAGTCGGGATTATGGTAGTCGGGATTTCGAACATCGGGATTTCGATAGACGGGATTTCGGTTGTCGGGCTTGCGGTTGCCACCGATTTTCTTAATGTTAATACGTGTTAATTACTACATTTAATTATGTAATTGTAGTCTTCCTTTTAATGTTTGTAATAAATTATGGTTAATATTTTTCAGTAATTTTAAATTTGTGAGTAAGAAAAGTGCATAAAATTATTATTTTCGTATAAGAAATTAAGAAAAAGGTTCACTTTTAAGCAATAATAGTATTTTGTAAAATACAAAAAAAAAAATGTAACTTTTTTTCTACATTATCAAGATTTTAATTGTTTTATGAATAAATAAGTTATAAAATGTAATGGAAAAATACAAAGAAAAATGATTAAATTCTGTAAAGTATAATTTGTATTAAAATATTACTTGGGTTTTCTATGAAATTGTAAAAGATATGAAATAATAATGAAATATGATAAACTTGTAATGTTTATTAATTCTGATGGTTTATGTATTTATATAAACATGTATTTGTATTAAAATATTTGTTTGGATATTGTTAATATGTATGTAATTGATGGAATAATTGTGTAAATATTGTTGATACTGGAATATTACGAACATGAAATGTTTATTGGTTGTATTTGATGATGTTACGTTTTATTTTTAAGTCTGGAAACAGGAAATCGTAGTAATCTATGTGTGTTCCCTAATCAGCGTGTGCTTTATAAATAAATGTATGATATTTGATGATTGGTGAAGCCGCGCGCGCTATTACAAAAAAAGAAAAAGAAAAGAAACTTAGACACTACACAACTAATTTCTTGTTGTTGTCAAGTGTCTCCTGGCCAAAGCTATTATTAAAACTTGATTCATATATACGTTGCACTTGTGCATATATAAATGTACGCATGTACAAAAGTATTGGTTAAAGTACTCCTTCACGGTGTTATTACCATGGTTACGTTGCTCTTGGATTTGTTGTATAGTTTGTTGTTAAATAAATGGATGGGTGTAATAAGTCAGGAGAACGTAAGATGTCCCTGACAGTGGCAGCTTCACGGTTTCGGAATGCCGGAGGGGTGCCAAAGGGGGCCTCGCCGCAGCCCCGCCGCGTCCCTCACCGTAAACCTGCCTCCTGACGTCACGGTCGGCCCAATGTCGGGCCCCACCAACAAACTCAGTTGGCCAACAACAGGCAACGAGGAACGAGCGACACTTTCAATTATCGTTTTCACGTGTTGTTTGTTGTTGCTCCGTTCGAAGAGCGCGCGCGATTCTCTTATCCACCGGGGGGGCCTTCACTCACTGTTGTTATTGTTTTTTTTTAATTTAATATTTATTTCCTTCAACCCCCGCAAGTTTTCCAACAAAAATATTATTAACAATTACAACACCTCGGATCCGGCTCTGCTCCAAACACAATCACCAATCGAAGAGTGGAAATACTAAATAGTCCATGTGCAATTTTTGTTGTTATTGTTATTATTGTTGTTGTGTGTGACAAAACTAAGCAGTGATACTACATTAGTGGGTGCTCTTGTGCGCGCAACCCGCGGAGATTTCAATGCTCGAGATATGAACGCTACGTGAGGACACGTACCCGAAAAACAATAAAACTGCACAGTTTCTTTTTTTTGTGATATTTCTGGTTGAAACCAGACGAGACTGTTTTTTTGGTTTTGTTTTGTTTCTGTTACTTTTTTTTGTTGGGGGCTTTTGAGATGAAACGTAGATGGTCGGGTGTGCAGGCGGTTAGGGTGCCTTCGGACGAGAGTTCCTCCGAAGTGACTTCTTCGTCGGCCACTTTGGTGATGAGTCCGGCCGATTCTATGGCCTCCGGGGAACTTGGGGACGTCGATCTGGATTTCTGGGATATGGATCTGAATTCGCAGAATCACGTGCGCGGTATTACCTTAATGCAGAACGGATTCGGTGTACCAGGACAAACAGTCATTGCCAATGTCCACCACATTAAATCGGACACCAGTTCTATCTCAGGTATACAACATATCCACATGCGTTCATTTTCTTTCTTTTTTTGGGGGGGTATATTTATATACATTATGGAAGAAACTTGCAACCGCACGCGTTATTTAACCACCCTCCCTAGTGCGCCTACCTTTTTCTCTCTTACCCTTGGGTAATTTACACAATTTATGACCTCAAAAAAAACTACCTACAAAAACCATTATTACTAGTACTATGTTACAAATTTCAACTTACTAACGAAATACACAACAATAATTATTACAGCATATAAAATTTAGCACAAAAAATAATATTGTAATTATCTTACAAACATTACTTTTCTAAAATAGAAAATTAGTAATTTACTATCGAAATAAACAATAAAATTACATACAAAAATAAATATAGAAATTATCAATGAACGAAATTTACTAATTGGAAAATATATAGTATTTTACATCAATGAATTTATACATTATTTAAAAAAAAATAATTAAAAACGTGAATTTTCAATTAGAAAAATAAATGTATAATTTTATTAATTAACACTTTCCAGTCCAATTTAATTACATTCTTTAAAAATCGATTTTTTTGTGAGTCTTTATTAAAAAAATACTAATTTAGTTTAAAAGTATATGAAAATTTTTGTACTTTTAATCAAATTCGTTTCATGTGTTTTTTTCAATAACAAAGAGAGAATAAAATTAGTACAAATTGATGAATTATGGGAAATATTCAAAAATATTATATAAAAAAGAAATGTAGCTTAAAAGTTACACGAGAAAAATATTAACAGCACGAAATAATATATAAAAATATATGAAGATTAAACATTGCAAAAGCTGTACTAAAAAAAAAAATTAATATCACGAATTGCAATTCAATCTGATGTAAAACATTTACATTTCTTTATAGGAAAAAGCTTGTTGTAATATCGAGTCATTCAACCTTGCATAATAAATGTTACGTAATTACGTTAGTTCTTGACTTTACTATTGGTTTTATCTGTATTTGAACAGATTGTATTGAGAGATATTTGGCAAGTTAGATGATTCGATGAGTCAAATGGAACTTAAATTAAATTGGTGCGACTCCTTTAGAAAGTGTCACAAGTCGAACTTTCATCGGTGATTCAATCAATACATGTTTAATTTATAGAAGCGCGGTTATATCGATCACCAGGATTGAATGAAGACAGTATTTAAAAGTTACTCAACAGGTGACGTTCATTCTAACTACTTGAGACTTTTTACTTTCTTCTTAATTAAATTAGTTTGATTATTATTTTAACAATTACATTTTTTTTGTTCGGTACAAAATATTAAACTAATTGAATTAAGTAATAAAATTAAATTAACTAATTATAATAGAAGTATAATTTGTATTATTTTTGTGAAATGAAAAGAAAGGTGTAATTTCTGAAAAGTAATTTCATTTTACTTGTATCAAATTGATGACGACATTAAATAAGATATTTTATTAGATTACAAAATCCGTTTACTTGCTAAGAGAAACCAATAAAATCTTACTTTCTTAATAGCTATTCCTTTTACATCGCCAGCAAAGAAAGAAAAAGAACAAAAAGCGAGGAGGAATTTCTTAAAAAGAGAAATAAGAAAAAGACAGTAAAAGTGAATTTCAAAGAAAATATTTCATTTAGATTTGTTTTTTCTTCATCAAAGGAATAGTAATTTTATTCATTGAAACAAAAAATACATTAATAAATAACTTTGTAAATTGTCTTAATTTCATAACTTTTTTTTAGAGATGAATACAGTGCACATTATGTATAATTAATTTCAATCAGTGTGGATTTGTAACGTGATTTTCCACAGACTCGATAATTACTTATATATAATTTTAAATGTAAACACTCGTAACAATGGAGTCGAAACAGTGAAAACTTTTACACGCAGAGCCGATCCTAATGAATTGTGTAAATCGTAGCAACAAACAAAAAAAAAGAAGAGTTTTAACAGTAACATCGACACGAGAAAAGCAAATCCCCACTTTTCATCTGCTCGAAATTTATATGTCAATATAACGAAACGAAACGTTGCTTACTTTCATTACATTTTGTCTTAGCTCAATAAAAAGAAGATACTTTGTATTAAATGTAAATTAAAAAGTAAAAGGAAATTACAAAAAATGCAATACAGGTATCCTAACGTCTTACGAAATAGTTCTGTTCCAAAGAGGTTGTTCGTAAGTCGAATATGTTCGCAAGTCTGGGGAATTTTCCTATCACTTTTTACTTGTATATATGTTAAATTCCGTATTACTGACAGCATAAAATTGAAAAAAATAGATTAAAATAAACAAAATACTTACTTACAAATACTTTTCGATGTAGACATCACAATTATTTAATAAAAAATCGACAAAAGAAACAAATGGAACAAAACAGATAGTACAGATCTTCCAAAAAATTTATATTTTATTAAAGAAATTAACAAATTTTCTTTGGACAGTTCAATTTTTATCACTTGTAATAAGTTAGAACTTTTAGAATTTTGTTCGTCTATGAGTTCGTATTTTTCCTGATGATTTACGTAAATTTTGTTGGAAATTTACTATTAAATTATCAATATTTAATAAGTTTCAAGTATAAAGATTAAGATTTAATTAATAAGAATCCAATTAACGAATCGAATAAATTAATAACAAATTGATGAAATACTTTGTGGCAGTATTATCCATGCGTTTGATATAAGGAGGTCATGTTTAAAAAGAGAATAAATGCCTTGATCTGCATATATAACTTTTTTTTTATGTGCACATGTCGCAATAATGAAATTCGTCGAATAAGTGGTATACAGTGTGACCCTTGAACGACGTTTTATACAGAGAATTGTATACGAAATTAATGGTGCCATGACCAAACAGAACTCACCAGTACAAATGACATGATAAAACAGAACGTCATACAAGAGAACAGGACAAAATAGAACAGAATAGCAAAAAAACGGAACTGTTCCAAAATTTCCAGATTTTTACTCGTATAGTGAAACATATTCAAAAATACACATAATATGTGTACGCAAGTGTTAAAAATGATGTAGCAAGCGCGAAATCCGGGACTTCTCTTCTCATCGTCACTCGTTGTGCGAAACGTCGCTCGATAAGCGAGTCATTTTTCTTAAAATTTCATTTTGTTCGTTAAGCGAGGTTCCACTGTATATACAATTATAATACAATTTGATCACATTTAAGTGCTTTTACATGTTTGTGGTCGTAATGGAAAAAAAAATAGAATTTGTTCGAAATCCAAATTGAATTATTTATATATAAAAACAATCATTACATCAAATCTATTAAAAACCAACAACAAACACAATAAAATCTTTATTGTCCATGTATTAATTTCCAAAACGTGTGCATTTCTCAACGCTATTGTTTACATATACATAAAAAAAGATCAATCAAACTATAATTAAAATTTAATATTTACATGAATAATTCGCATATTTAATTACGTTAATATTTTTGTTTTAAATCAAATAAATTAAGCATGCGTTTTTTTTGTTATTCCAAGAAATGGAACATAATATATGCATATAGACTTAAATATATATATATATATTTATATATGTATGAAGAGAAGAAAAAAATAAGAAGCGTTGGCGTTGTTTTACAACAGAACAAAAATACCGTACAGACACAGTCGTGACGAGAGATTAATGTTGGCCAGACCACCAAAGAAATCCTTTTTACAACATTAATTATCATACGCTGCATTTGGCGACAAAAATTTATTTTTAAGCTTTTTTCTCTTTTTCAACTAATTCTTTCCGTTGAATATTCATTCCAGAAACGGGACCCGAAAATAAGAGATTTACTACTCACTCTGTATTGTGTTTTTTTTTTATATATCTTGGGTACTAGGCTTAACCTCATAAGTATGTCAGTGATGTGTAAATATACATGGTTGAAACTCTGGTGGGTTTCGTGGGCAGTACGGGTGCGTAATATATCATCAAATTTATCCTGCAGTTCCGTCAGTTAACAGACGCGTATCAATCCTCGCACAAACTGAAAACGTTTATTATTTTTTTCTTGATTGAAAGTTAAATTTATTCTCTTCTAATATTTTATTTAAATTAACTAACTTTTATAGTTCATTCAAATTATACATATAAATCTTTAAAATTAAACATTTAAAAAAATATCAAATATTTAATTTGAAAAATTGATTTGTATTTAAAAAAAAAATGTAAATTATTTATAACAGTTATATAACTAAATTTTTACTTAATTTATTGGTTCATTCTATTAATTCAAAATTATAATGAAAAATATAATTTATTTATTTTTTAAATTGAATTGAATTTCTGCACACTAAATTTATAATATTTAGGTACAAAGTGAACTTACATTTAATATGAATTACCTAAGCTTTTTTATAGTTTTACTTAAGAGAAAAATCTTTCAAATAAAACATCAAAAATTTATTGGTTTTGAAATCAAATTTTAATTGACATTAAATTCATATTTTTAAACAAAAATATAAATTATTGATTTTTTTTTAAATTTAATTTAATTATTTTTACTGGTTTATGAAAAAAAATTGAATGACATCTTTCAAATTAAACATTTAATAAAAATCAAAGATTTATTCGTTTTGAAATCAAATTTTATGTCAATTATTTATATAACATTTGATTATACTACTAAATTTTTAGTTAATTTTATTAATTAATATTTTTAAACAAAAAAATTAAATAATTGATTTTTTTTTTATATTTAATTTAATTTTTTTTACTGATTTATGAAAAAAATAAATAAATTTTTCGCAATTTATTAATTGAATTTCTATACATTAAATTATAACTAAACTTTTAACATCATTCACAAAAAACAAGATTTAAAAAAAAATCAATTCGTTTTGAAAACAAATTTTATGTCAATTATTTATATAACATTTGAATATACTACTAAATTTTTAGTTAATTTATTGGTTAATTCTATTAATTAATATTTTTTAAACAAAACATATAAATTGTTGATTTTTTTAAATTTAATTTAATTTT